AGGAGTTGTGTACAGATCCTTGCAACATGGGGCCGTGCATTATCATGCTGAAACATGAGGTGATGGCGGCGGATGAATCGCACGACAATGGGCCTCAGGATCTCGTCACGGTATCTCTGTGCATTCAAATTACCAACGATAAAATGCAATTGTGTTCGTTGTCCGTAGCTTATGCCTGCCAATACCATAACCCCACTGCCACCATGGGGCACTCTGTTCACAATGTTGACATCAGCAAACCGCTCGCCCACACGACGCCATACACGTGGTCTGCGGTTGTGAGGCCGGTTGGAAGTACTGGCAAATTCTCTAAAACGATGTTGGAGGTGGCTTATGGTAGATAAATTAACATTCAATTTTCTGGCAACAGCTCTGGTGGACATTCCTGCATTCAGCATGCCAATTGCATGCTCCAATTGTATGCTCCAAAACTTGAGACATCTGTTGCATTGTGTTGGGACAAAACTGTACATTTTAGAGTGGCCTTTTATTGCCCCCAGCTCAAGGTGCACCTGTGTAATGATCATGCTGTTTGATCAGCTTCTTGATATGCCACACCTGTCAGGTGAATGGATTATCTTGGCAATGGAGAAATGCTCACTAACAGGGATGTAAACAAATTTGTGCCCCAAATTTGAGCAAAATACGCTTTTTGTGCGTCTGGAAGATTTCTGGGGTCTTTTATTTTCAGTCTTTTATTTCAGCTCATGAAACATGAGACCAACACACTTTACATGTTGCGTTTGTATTTTTGTTCAGTGTAGATGGTTGAGAGTTGTTTCAGTCATTTCGTATCAACCTAGCACTCACTCCCTGTTACAGTTGTATTTGTGAGTTTGAGGGTGTGTGTTACCTGTGTGTGTGTGTTTCTATCAGAGTCTAAGAGAGGGGAGGATAGACAGTGGAGTCATCCAGAGGACATCACTAGTCTCTCCAGCAGCAGTGTGTTTAATGGCAAGTCTACCTATACTAAACCAGCTACTGTGTGTTCCACTACCATATAGCAGAGTGCCCTTAATCTAGTGTGTGTGTGCGTACGATCAGACTTGTCATGTTCTGTTCTCACCATTTGAAAGCAGGTCAGATAAGGGGGAGTGAGTGGCACCTATTGTTTACATTCCAGTATTAAGTACAAAGTTCTCAAGGAGGGGTTCTCACTGGCACACATGGACACACAGTAATGGGTTGTACAGGGCTCTGCATCACTGATCCAGTTTATACTATTTTCCACAGACGCTCTGATCCTTCTGGACTTAGGTCCTGTTACTCATCAAAGAGAGGGGGGAGCGGGGGAGAGCGAGGGAGGAGGGCAAGAGAAAGGAGGAAGAGAGGGAGTTGTGGATGGATTAGCGTAGGTTGTAGGATAGAGAGGAGGGGTGGGAGAGAGGCAAGATGTGGAGGAGGAGTGTAGGAGTGGAAGGACAGTAATAGACAGAGAAGGGATTCATCACTCTGACATTGAGGCAATCTTCTAGGGAGGGATTTGCTTATGCAATGGTAATGGGTTGTGAGTAGGCTTGGGTGGTATCCAGATTTTCATATTGTCATACCGTCCTTCTCTTATCCTGGGATTTACGGTATTACCGGTATAGCACACAAGTGGGTGCTAAAAAAGCTAGAAAAGCCCATTGGGCCTCGATTACCAGAATGCTAACAAAATTAGCACGAACTAATAGTGAAATCAAATACACTGTTAGCTAAATGCTAACGAGTGAAAACAAACAAACTAATTGCAAAGGCAGGCAAATCCAGCTCATAAAGTTATACAAGAATAGCTAGTAGCTACCAAATGTCATTTTCGGTGAGTGTCGACATTTACAAGCAGAAAGTGAACGAGAGAAATTAACAGCTTCTACCCCCCAAGCCATAATACTCCTGAACAGCTAATCATGGCTACCCGGACTATTTGCATTGCCCCCCCACCCCCCCACCCAACCGCAACCCCCTCTTTTATGCTGCTGCTACTCTGTTTATTATTTATGCATAGTCACTTAACTCTACCCACATGTACATATTACCTCCACTAACCGGTGCCCCCGCAAATTGACTCTGTACCGGTACCCCCTGTATATAACCTCCCTACTGTTATTTTATTTTACTGCTGCTCTTTAATTATTTGCTTTTTTATTTTTTTATTTAAAAAACTGCGTTGTTGGTTAAGGGCTCGTAAGCATTTCACTGTAATGTCTACACCTGTTGCATTCGGCGCATGTGGCAAATAAAATTTGATTTGAAGTGAACAAAGTTGTGATGCATGCGTTTCTGAAGGAAGAGCAGCATGTGTACACAGAGCAGAGAAGAACAGAGGAGGAAAAAATACGCTAGTAAGAAGCACAGGGGGAAAATGGCCCCTGTACCGACAACTCATCCAGAGCTCTTTGGCTTATAAGATATCTGATGGCAAACATTTTGTAGTGAATTGCATACAAGTGTAACTTCATCACCTCATGTGCGCCGCTCAACAGAGACTCGCCGATAGATATAGAACGCTATGGACTCACCAGCTCCCGCAGTCTCCCGTTGTGCTATTTACAAACAAACACGTGACTGGCTCAACTGTTCTGGGGAACTACGGTAAGCTTCATCATGTAAAAGAATGCGGAATGCTTTGTCTCCTAATGTATTGCACAAGTTGACTGCAGGTTTTAACTTAAAAAGTAGCTACAAATATTCACATTTATTGAAAAACCATCCCGTCTTTTTCCAAATACGCCGGTATACGGTATTTTGCCTAGTTGTGAGGTTGCAGATAGTGTGAAGGAAAGGGTGTGTTTGTGAGAGCCCAGAGCACAGCACACAGCAGAACAAATAGTAGACCTTGTCCTATGAGCATGTAATTAACATATTTAAATAGTGAACATTGTGTTTGTATGTGGTGTCTGAGGCTAATGAGTCAGACACTAACGCTTTAGAACATAATGCTGAATTTGTCTACTAGCCACCACACCCTTAAAGGGATACTTCGGGATTTTGGCAATGAGTCCAGTATGAAGAAAGTTGGAGGTAGTTTCGCAAGCCAATGCCCTTACAATGACTGGAAGTCTATGGGTATAGCTTCCTTCAAACTGCACGCAGAGACATAAAAATGGTATCCATGAGTTCATCTGACTCTGGGGAAGAAAATAAAGGGCCTCATTCTCAAAATCCTGAAGTATCCCTTTAAGGCGTCCCGATGCTTCCCATCCAAAACACTTTGGAACCGTTCATGCATATATTATGATGACATTTTGTGACGTTTTGGTCTTCGGCAAGGGTTTTTTCGGCTGTTCATGCACGCAGGAAATTCTCGAGACATGCCGAAGTCGATGCCCTTTCGTCGGTGATTGGTCAACAGTAGGGATTCTTCAATGAAATGTTTGTCATTCAATGAGACTAATTGTTTTCATGCACATTTTTTCACTTGAGAAATACTGCACCAAACATCTTAATGTAAAATTGTGCAAACATGTATGACAGATTACTTGAGTTATCTTAGATTAATTCAGACTATTTTGAGGCTGGCTACGACGTCTCAAGATGGACAAACGGTACTATATGCGAGCACACTCGTTGGGTTCGCCTAGGATAGGCGTCAGCTGAACTGAAGCATGCGGAAGGCTTTCTCCTCTCCCGCCCTCCTTTCCTCTACCCCTTGCTCTCAACTTCCCTCCTGACACATGTTAGTCATTCCTGGCTGTGGGTTTTGGGAAACCCCTCTGTGTCACTCTCTCCCTCTTTCCTCTCCTCCCCCTTTCCCTTGTTCCTCCCAGCCCCAGGGTGACCCTCTGACTCAGCCAGAGCAGGAAGGAATGAGTCACACACACACACACACACACACACACACACACACACACACTACCCCTTCTCCCCACAGTGAGTCACCAGTCAGAAACTCTTGGCCTGTGATGAGGCCCTTCTGTCCCCCTCGCTCTCCCCCCCTCATTCTCTCTCTCTCTCCCTCTGATCACTCTTCAGACTCACAGCAAAGTGTCAACTCTCCCTAGAGAAAAACAATCTGGGGAGGGCTGAAATGTTTTCTTTGTTGATATAGTAAATCATATTTTGTATTGCTCTATCCTACATGAGTAAAAATGGTGTGTGTGTGTGTGAGAGAGATTTGTATGGAAAGCATACCAGATTTTTGTTTTTACTTTTGGTTCTCAAGTTCCACGTCTGTACTGTAAAATATTATTATCTGTTAGTACACCTAGAGAGACAGCTGGTTTCAAATAACCACAGCCTCACATCACACACACACCACCTCTGCAAGAACCAACACCACACACATTGGACCACCAACACACACGTTTTGGAATTTACTGTAGCTGTGTTGGGTATAAGTTGACAGCCCAGACTCGGGGCATTGCACATTTATTCTTTCTCCCTTCCCTCTCTTCCTCTGCTCTTCTCTCTTCTCTCTCGCCTCTTCCTCCATCTCCTCTCTTTCTCCTCTCCTCTCTCGAGCCTCTCCCTCCGCCTCTCCTCCTCTCCCTCTCTCTCTCTCTTCTCTCTCCTCTTCCTCTTCTCCCTCTCCCTCTCCTCTTCTCCTCTCCCTCTTCTCCCTTCTCTCCTCTTCTCCCTTCTCCGCCTCCTCCCCATCTCTCCCTCTCTCTCCCTCTCCCTCTCTCCATTCTCCCTCCCCTCTCCTCTCCTCTCTCCGCCTCTCTCTCCATCTCTCTCTCTCTCCGCCTCTCCCTCCTCCATCTCTCCCTCTCTCGGTCTCTCCCTTCCCCATCTTTCTGTTGAATGTGTTTGTGTAGACTGATATCAAACACACCGCTTCTTTGATCCTGTGGGTTGATTGTCTTTTATCAACCAACCAGATAAGAAACTGCATTATATTCAATAGCAGCTCTGTGATTTGTCAGATAGCGGCTGTATTGTACAGTCATTGTAGAAATGGGTACAGCTGAGAGGGCGACAGTAGTGATGAAAGCCCTAGTGGAGGCAGGAAAATGGTTACTCCCAGTCGTTGACCGATAGGACCCTCTGGGTGGCTGATGCAGGGCCAGGCAGCAGCCATGGGAACAATCTGCCATCTGGTGGTGAGGAATGGAAGCACATGTTTTCATCTTCGTTGAAAATACTTAACTAGGCTACACGCTACATGCTCTGTTCCACTTGAACCCTTAACCCTCTGGTAGGCCCCACACAGTGTCTGTACTATTTTCTGAGTGCTATTTCACACAGGGTGAATCACTATGTCCTCTCCAGACAGAGCTTCCCTCTTTTCCCACCTTGCTCTCTCGCTCACTCCTCTATTTTAAGTGTATCAGGGTTATGTAAAAAGTCAAGAGAGCTGTAGAGGCCAGAGGGCTTCCATCCTCAGTTAGAGGAAGTCACCTGATACCGCATTCTGTGACAACGTTCCATGGTTGTCATGGTTACTGCTGCCACGGTCACACTGTTGCTGTATCGAGGTCATAGAGAACTCTCTGTGTGGTCAGGGTGATGATGTGTTGCACACACAACACAGGAGTGGTTGTGTAATGGTGAGAGAGGATGTGATTCTCATTTAACCTAGACGTTGTTTTTAAGTCAAATATAGCGGTGGTACAACACCCTCTCATACTAGATGTATTAGCTAGCTTGTTACTTCCTGAGTGGCGCAGTGGTCTAAGGGCATGATCGCAGTGCTACTGTGCCACAGAGTCCTGGTTCGAATCCAGCTCTGTCGCAGCCGCCGCGACCGGAGACTCATGGCGGCGCCAATGGCCCATCCGTCAGGGTAGGGGAGGGATGCCGGCGGGAGTAGCTGTTGATAGAGCATGGGTTTGCAACCAGGTTGTGTCATTCCCATACGGGGGGCGTATAACATATGATTCACAACTGACGTGATAGAGCGTCTGCTAAATGACTACAAATGAATGAAAGATGTTACAGATGTGACATATGAAGACGTACATATCAAAAGAAGAGTATGGGACAATGTAATTGATTCATGACTTGTCAGAAACACATGAAGTGATTGGGAGGGAAGGATAGAGGGAGGGATGGGATACATGGAGAAAATAAATAGGGATGGAGAGTATTTAACATTCACCTCATACTCTGTCCTAGTGTGACAAGTAGCGGTGAAGGTGCTTGTGGATCAGTAAGTTTACTAGCTGAGTCTTTGACTGAATATACCATGGGCCTGTCTGACTGTGTGACGGTGAGTTTAGATGTGTTACATGTGACGGTAGATATAGTGACATGATATATGGTGATTGTATGTCACCCCCCTTGCTGCGGCTGATTGATGCTTAAGACACTTAATATTGTTCTGATGTGTTAAGTTGATTATGATGTCATCTGTTTTCAATATATACTGATCTGTTCATGTCTCTCTCCCTCCCTGTGTCTAGGCTGAGTCTGGGTATGGGTCAGAGTCCAGTCTGAGGAGACATGGCTCCATGCTGTCTCTCACGTCTGCTACGAGCGGCTACTCCGCCACATCCACATCCTCCTTCAAGGTGAGACTTGACCTAACATACACACACACATACACACACACACACACACACACACACACACACACAGAATGTTTGCTGACCATACGTTCCTCTGTTTGGGTCCGAAGGGTCACAGCCTGAGAGAGAAGCTGGCGGAGATGGAGACATTCAGAGACATCCTTTGCAGACAGGTGGACACGCTGCAGAAATACTTTGACGGCTGCTCCGACGCTGTCTCCAAGGACGAGCTGCAGAGAGACAAAAGTAAGACGATGAATTCATCAATGGATCAATCAGTCAATCAATCAGATGCTTATGTCAGACAATAAAATCTTAAGTGCCTGACAGCCACAGGTCTACGATCCTTTGTCTAACCGTGGGGGAAGATACTTCCACATGCACTCTGTGACAGCAAAACCAATGGGTTCCTTCCTACTTAATGTTTAACTTGCAAATGAACAGAAAACACAACAACAGCTACCTGAAAAAACAATGACAAAGTACCACAAAATGCCTCCAAAAAATATTTGGTGTTGCCAGCAGAAATGCTATGCATGTGTGTGGATCATGAAAATATTTAGAGCTTTGGGGAAACATTTGCAGAATCTTCAACGGAATGTGTTCCGTCAGCCCCCTCATTGAGATGCAGTCATTTCACTCTCCCTCTTAGTTTTTCTTTTTTCCTTCTCTCTCTCTCCCTTCCTCACTCTCTCTTTCTCTCCCTCCACCCCCCCACTCTCAACCTCTCCCACTCTCTCTCTGCTGCCTGAACATTTGCTCATGGTAGAGTTTGTGCTTTGTCACCGTGCTGAACGACGGTTCTGGATGACCACAAACAATCAAAGCGTTCCTTTGTTACCTATCAAATCCTTCCCTCTTTCCCTCCTCTCATGTCTCTCCCTCCCTTTCCCCCCCCCCCCCCTCCCTCCACCCTCCACCCCTTACTCCTGAAGAAGAGTCCAGGCCATTGTTGTGGTTCTGAAGACAGTACAGTAGAGTTCTGTTAGCGTGCCGTGCTGGGTGGTTGCGTAGGAGACTCTTTGCACTACTCTGGCTTTATTGGTGGCTCTTTGCAGGGGCTTTGTAGGGACTAGTGTACTACTGTATGACGATTGCTGATCTCTCTCTTTCTCTCTCTCGTTCCCTCTTTTTCTCTCTAGTTGTGGAGGATGATGAGGAGGATTTCCCCAACACTCGGTCAGACGGAGAGTTCATCCACAACAACAACGGCAGCAAAGAGAAGCGTGAGTACAGAAGAATCACTTCTATAGAGTTCAACCCTTTGAGGCTATTCAAGTGTTTTTTTAAACTAACTAAAATTAAAACAATTTGTAGTCCGTGTGTGTGTACGTAGTAAACATGAAATACGATTTGTGTCTGAAATAAATGTTTCAAAACACAGAGCTATGTTAAAACATCAATTTTTACACACACATTACTCTCCTCTGTGCAGTGTTCCGATCGCTGAGCCCTAAAGGCATCAATGGGATAGACTTTAAGGGCGAGGCTATCACGTTTAAGGCCACCACAGCTGGGATCCTGTCCACCCTGTCCCACTGCATCGACCTGATGGTGAAGAGAGAGGACAGCTGGCAGAAGAGACTAGACAAGGAGACGGAGAAGAGGAGGAGGATAGAGGAGGGCTACCATTCTGCTCTCTCTGAGCTCAAGAAGAAGTCTCACTTCGGAGGCCCTGATTACGAGGTGAGAAGATTGGGTCAGTTCTAAGATTGTTTTGAGCCAGGTGAAAATACATCTGTCATTCCCATTCTCAGTAGGTAATGAACGCCATGTTACTCTTCCCTTGTCTCCTCCTTCTTTTCCTCCTCCCTCTCTTCTTCCTCCAGGAGGGGCCTAACAGCCTGATCAATGAGGATGAGTTTTTCGATGCCGTTGAAGCAGCTCTTGACAGACAAGACAAGATGGAGGAACAGGTACATGTGCAAGGGCAAACAGCCTCAGCCTCTATTGATAGAGAATAAATCAAATTCTATAATAATAATGATAAGTCTTCGTATTACCTTGAGTGTTTTATCCTGGCCGTGTGTGTGTGTGTGTAGTCTCACACCGAGAAATCGAGGATACAGAGGTCCAGTCCAGTTCCCCCAGGAGATGTCTACTCCACCATAGGATCACACAGATTCGCTGACAAGGTAATTCACCTCACTTAGTCCTGAACACGTTACTTTTACTCTCTTCCCCTTACCTCACTCTTTCTCTTTTTATGGTTTATGTTCTCTTGTGTTCCTTCATCATCCCTGTAGCCCCATAGTCACTGCCCTCTGATAGTCACTGCCCTCTGATAGTCACTGCCCTCTGATAGTCACTGCCCTCTGATAGTCACTGCCCTCTGATAGTCACTGCCCTCTGATAGTCACTGCCCTCTGATAGTCACTGTCCTCTGATAGTCACTGTCCTCTGATAGTCACTGTCCTCTGATAGTCACTGCCCCTCACTGCGCTCCTTGGCAGAGCAATAGCAACCCCTCCACCACTGGCTGACTTACTGCACTCCCCCCCAACAGGCATCTGTCTAGCATGATATTATTGGTTGCCACCCTGAGTCACTACACTATATTTAGCTAGCATGCTTTTGTCTTTGTCTGTTAGTACAGAGATTGACTGGCCTTTGCAGTTTGCCTGTCATAGCTGCTACATCACCACAGTACAATTGGTGGTTTGTCTTTCCTTTAACACATTTGTGTTTGTCAGTGAGCTATTATTTCAATCTGACATTTAACCCCATCTGTCCCTCCTGTTCCTCTTCCTGGTTGTTTTTGATAGGTGGAGGAAATGGTGCAGAATCACATGACCTACTCGCTGCAGGATATGGGCGGAGACGCCAACTGGCAGCTGGTGGTGGAGGAGGGAGAGATGAAGGTAGGAGAGAGGGAGGAATGAAGAGAGAGAGCGAGGGATGATGATTTGATTTATGAATGTGCCTTATGTGAAAGAAAGAAAACCTTTGTGTTGCCAGCACTTCAACTAAGCCATTCTGTCTTCAATCACATAGTTAAAGTAAAGTATTAACCACGGTACCCCTCTCTGTTGTGTGTAGGTGTACAGGAGGGAGGTGGAGGAGAATGGCATTGTCCTGGACCCCCTGAAGGCCACCCATTCTGTGAAGGGAGTCACGGGACATGAGTTGTGTCACTACTTCTGGGACACGAACGTACGCAACGACTGGGAGAGTAAGTTTCATCTGAACAATATAATACATACAGTGGAGCAGTATTTTTGCAATGTTCCTTATTTCTGTAGTAATGTTTTTGAATTGAGTCATTTAGTGGACATGTTTTACTCTGTTTCTCTGTCCTTCTCTCTTTTCATTTATTCAGCTACCATTGAGAACTTCAACGTTGTGGAGATGTTATCAGACAACGCTGTAATCGTCTACCAGACACACAAGGTAAGAGGGAACACACACACACAATCTTTGGGCTCTGAGAAGAGATTGGGGTTTTTAAAGGAAGGAGACAAAGCCAAAACATGAAGACTTGTGATGTGCAGTAAAGCATACATGTGAACTGTCTGTTGCAGAGGGTGTGGCCAGCATCCCAGAGAGATGTGCTGTACTTGTCTGCTATGAGGAAGATCCTGGCTAACAACGAGAATGACCCAGACACCTGGCTGGTCTGCAACTTCTCTGTGGACCACGACAATGCCCAGGTCATTTTAACTATCCTACCGCTTATGAGCTCAAAGATTTTGGGACGTTGTATTGATTAGTTAAACTCTTATTCAGGTCTATCTTTGGCCAGGTCTCTCTGGCAATAAATATTTTTATCTCAATGAGACAACCCAAATAACAAAATATTGATAACAAAATGAAGGTTAATTAAAATATTCAACCAGGTAAGAATCTCCTATGCTTGTAATTGATCTTCCTCCATGTCGTTGTCGCCCTGCAGACCACCAACAGGTGTGTTCGCGCCAAAATCAACATTGCCATGATATGCCAGACCCTGGTGAGCCCACCAGAGGGCGACAGAGAGATCAGCAGAGACAACCTTACCTGTAAAATCACCTATGTGGCCAATGGTGAGCTCACCTCCGTAACCACTCTAATAGGCACTAGAGATGGCCATGCTAGAACGGACAAAATAAGCAGTATTACAATAGCCATGTAGTACATTGCCAGTAACTATGTATTCTTCAATTAGGATTTGAGTAACTTGCGTTTCGGAATAGTAAGTTTAGGGTCAGGGTTAATGTTAGGCAAGCCAACAAGAGGCAAGCTAGCTATTCCTGCCTCCCCGCGGTGGAGTTGCTTGGGTAGCTTTCTTGTTTAGTATATGTAGCGTTAAGTCGCTTGGTTATTCTAAATGGACCGTGCTGCGGTCAGAGGCTAGCTAGCCTAGCTTAGACTAAAGAGCATCCTGGCTAACGTCAGCTAGCATGCATAACTTCCAGTGAATTAAGCTTATTAGCGTTCCCCAGCGCTATGACAACCCCATTCCTATTTTCATTCCTGGAGTTGGAGGGAGTAGAGAGAGCGGGGCTTGCGTGCTCCTCCAATGAAGATGTAGCCCCCGAGCAGCTGCACCGCTACACAAAAACATAGCTGTGATGACAGTGGCCCCACGTTTTATTACAGCAAACGGGGTACTAAGTCAGCCGGGCTTCATGCAGGCTATAAAGTTTCACAGAAGCACAACGTGTTTTGGAAGTTTGTCCATGTTTAATTACCCTCTGGTACCCCGCGTTCCATGGTGTTCACGGGGTTCAAGGGGTATATCAATCTCCCCAGCGTGGGAGTAATAAAAAGGGCGATTTGCTCTCTGTCCAAAAGGAGGCACCTCTCCCCCATAGGTGGCTTATCAATGGTGTTTATTGTGGATTCCTGCCAGTAGCTCACCAGTCCCTATGAGGTGTCTAGGGATACAGGTTATGGGCCCTGAAGGCGATTGGTGGTTGGTAGCAGAGTTGACGGAACAAGCAGGGTTGGACACGACCATGCTATTATCCCACATACCGTCTCTGTGGTTCATATGAACCCTGAAATGAGCGGTCTTTCTCCAGCTTGGCGCTTTTCATTCCTGGGAATTAGATTTGATTACGAATCACCCCTATCGGTTACCACAGAAGGGGTCCGTTTTTTCAGAGCTGTCTTTCCCATGCCCAGCTAGGTTACAAGGCGCTTTGTTGCCAGTACCTATGACTGGTCGGTAGGGTAACCTCCATTATGTTTTTTTCCCCTGGGTCTATTTAAAAAATTTCCGGAACGCATCTTACCGCCTAAACCGAGTGAGGCTCGTTGTCACTGATCGCCGGAGCCCTTGTACCCAGAGTGGGCCAGGCTTTAGGCAAACCTTGGTACATAAACAAAACAATTTCAACCCCAAGTTCCACAGCGTTCACGGGTGTCAAAAGTATTGTCTCCCGCATGTGAGTTCGATGAAAAGTGTTCCTTCTCCACATTCAGACACACTGTTTGCAAGAGTGGTGGAAATGGAAGAATAACCAATCTCTCCTAGTCCACAAGGTGGCGTCACACCCTTTCAGATGGCACTTCACGGGAAGCTCGCTGTCTGCTCCGACCAATGGCACGCATGTGAAGTGTCTCCCTGGATCATGTGAACAGTGACGTCAGGGTACAGGCTACAATTTGTTGTGCGTCCCCCACGCTTCTGCAGCGTCACCACGTTGGCTGTTCCTGAGGCCTCAGCACCCGTTTTGAGGGAGGAAATATCCTCCCGTCTCCAGAAGCAGGCAATCCGAATGGTTTCTATGTCGAAGATCCAGGACGGCTGGTACAGGACGGCTGGTACAGGGCGGCTGGGCCCCGTGTAGCTCAGTTGGTAGAGCATGGCGCTTGCAACGCCAGGGTTGTGGGTTCGATTCCCACAGGGGGCCAGTATGAAAATGTATGCACTCACTTAACTGTAAGTCGCTCTGGATAAGAGCGTCTGCTAAATGACTAAAATGTAAAATGTACAGCCGGTATTTCCTGGTTCCGAAAAGGGATGGGACTTTGGGTCCCATTCTAGACCTACGTGCCCTCAGCAAGCACCTCAGTCTACAAACTCAGAATGCTCACGAGCCGCTGGCTATTACAGCTGATTGGCTGGTGGCGGTGGAGTCGAGGGGTCAAGTGGTGTTATACACATCCATGCTACTGTCCTGTATTCAGTCTCTAGGCTTCATAAGAAACCAGAAAAAGAGCTGTCTCACTCCATCTCAGCGCATTCCCTTTCTGGGTCTAGAGCTAGACTCACTTGTGGCTCCCCGTTGACCCAGGCAGCCTTGGTTTGCTGAGATCATTCGCCTTTTAGGCGGGGACCAGTGGCAACTCCTTTGTGCAGGGACCTGTTGTCCCAGGAGCCCGGGAAGGTTTGGCAAGTGAGGCTGGAGATTTGGTTCCTATGGGCCTGGCCCCTGAGAGTGGCAATCTGATGGCTAGAGGTTTACCTCCGAATGTTATTGCTACCATTCAGTCTGCAAGGGCGCCCTCCACAAGAGGGCTGTATACGTATAAGTGGCAAGCGTTTGAGCTCTGGTGCCAAGATAAAGGACTTAGTTCCTACAGGAGCTTTTCAAGCAGGGACGGGCATTCTCCACGTTAAGTGTACATGTATCTCAGTCCTGGTTATGCGGTTATCCCACCCCCTGATTGTGCGGTTCCTGAAAGGTGTAAGTCAGCTCAAACCGATCTCTAAACCTACATGGGACTTGGTGCTGGTTTTGGAGGCACTGTGCGCGGCCCCCTTTGAGCCTCTGGAGTCGGTAGATCTGACGATCCTCTCCTACAAAACCTCTCTGCTCATGGCTTTGGCCTCGGCTAAACGTTTTGGGGACCTCCACGCGTTATCCGGTATTCAGTTTGCTCGGGGCGACTCTAAGGGGATGTTTCGTCCAAATGTGGCCTTTGCCCCAAAAGTCATGGCTATGTCCTACATGTCCTTAGTTTTTGAGTTGTAACTTTTTCACCTCCTCCTTTTGCTTCTGAAGAGCAACAGAGGTTACATGCCCTGTGTACGTTGCGAGCTTTACTTGCGTAGATTGAACGGACCCAGGATATCCGGATGTGTGACCATTTATTTTTGTCTGTTTTACTAATCCAACTCCCAGCATGGCACTCCCTAAGCAGCGTCTCTCCCACTGGCTTGCGGAGGCTATTTCTCTAGCATATAGCAGCAAGGGTTACCTAGCGGTGTATGCACCCGCTCCACCAGGGGTGACTATAGGAGATATTTGTGCTGTGGCGAGTAGTTAACTACAGAAATGTTCTTCGTTTGACAGCCCTAATTAAATATGAAGGTGTTGTGAATGAAACTGTTCTCTGTGATATCCTGTGTAACATGTATTTCCTCTTCCTGTCTGTCTCAGTGAACCCGGGAGGCTGGGCTCCTGCCTCAGTTCTGAGGGCTGTGGCCAAGAGGGAGTACCCCAAGTTCCTCAAGCGCTTCACCGGCTACGTCCAGGACAAGACAGCCGGGAAACCTATCCTCTTCTGAGTCTCACAGGACTCACAGCACCCCTGTCCACACAACTGACTGTTCCGAACATTGCAACCCAACTCTAGCTAGCACTCATGCTAAGTGCTAGGGTACAGCTAGGCCTTTTTTAGACTAGCTTCCATGCGAGCTCTCTTGCTAGGTCTTCAGCTAGCTTAAATGTAAGCCCTCATGCTAGCGTCAATGCTAGTTTCCCATTCAATACCTCATGCTAGTTTTTTATACAAGCTCGCTCCTCATGCTAGCTCTTATGCTAGTTTCCTTTGCTAGCTCTCATGCTAGTTTCCTATGCTAGCACTCATGCTAGTTTCCTATGCCAGCTCTTATGCTAGGTCCTTTGCTATTTCTCTTGCTAGTTCTTATGCTAGCTCCCATGCTAGTTTCATTAGCTAATGCAGAAAGACCTATAAGAATAGCCAAAATGTAAATTGTGTTCCCTTTTCTGGCAGAGATATATTAATTTAATATATACATGTAAGTATGTGTTATAAGACATTTATAAGAAAGCAATTTAAGACTGGAAGACAAAACATTACTCTATTTTAGTCCTGCTTTTTGTAGTCGTCCTTTTTTAAGAAATTGAGTTTGTTCCTATTTCGTGTTGATTTAGCTTTTTATAATAATCAGTGATGTTACAGCTTATTCTCATGCTGCTAATTTTCTTAGTACGACAACTTGGATTGCCTTTTTTCCAGAATGATTGTCTTGTTTGAAAGAAACAAAACAATGACAAAATTCCAGAGGGCTGTCATTGAACTATGATCTCTAGGACATAAGACTTTATTTTTTGTTTTGTCTCTCTGGTGAAAACACCACTTTGCTGGTGCTGATGGAGGGACAAGACTAAAAGTTATTTTATTTTCAAATGTTGAAAATGTATTAAATCTTCACATTTCTTTATTTTGGGGTTGTACTTGGGTTTCAATGTTGTTATACTGTAGCAACACAATTTCGATTTGGGATTTTAGATATCTGGATTATAACTGTATATAATGTCGTCAAACATTTCTGCTTCACAACCAGCTGTAAAAAATGTTTGCAAATGCTTTTTGTGACTCAATTGACTCCATATGCCTTAGACTGGGGGAGATAATACAATAGGTTTTGGGTAGGGGAGAGGGTGCTGATAGACAGTACACCCATATGAAATCACTAGAGACGTGCCAAGGGCCTAGTTCCAATGCCTGATTGTCGTCCCTTTCTCTCCTGCCTTCGTTGAAGTAAATCACAACCCTGATATGACTGAGTGGAAACCTGAAACGTGACCCTTATCCAATCAGGATGATGTCAGGGCAGTCGTTAGTAGGAAGGGAGGAAGTAAGGAGGTCCTTTTAAGGCATGGGTGTCAAACTCATTCCATGGAGGGCCTAGTGTCTGCGGGTTTTTGGTTTTTCCTTTCAATTAAGACCTAGACAACCAGGTGAGGGGAGATATTTACTAATTAGTGAATTTAATTCATCAATCAAGTACAAGGGAGGAGCGAAAACCCGCAGACACTCGGCCCTCCGTTTAGACAGTTTCTACATTTTACAGCAGACAGAAGCTTTGTCGCCTGCTGGGTACTTCAGTGAAAACAATGATGGTCTCCACATAGTGAAGACCTAAGTCTTTCATTTCAGATAGGCTACCTATTTATATGAAAGTAAGGGGTTTGGGGGTTAATACGATGTCTAATTCATTTCATACCCCTTTTAATTCAAACATTGTGATATTGCAATCAGCAGAAACTGATTTTCACCGAAGGCCAGCTCATTGGAGGAGCTATATGCCAATCAACTTTTCTGTCCAATGGAGAGATTGGTTCAAATCCTTAGAGGATGATGGTGTGAACTGTATGCTGGCTTTCATTCCAAGTGATCCTTGATTTGGTCAAGTGATTATAGCTTTGTATGTTCACCCCTTTGCGAAGAAGTCCAATAAATTATTTCTACATTGATAGCACAAGTAATGTATAAAGCCAAGTGGAGAAATACCTGGTTAGAAAGACATTTCAAAGGCTGGTTTCCCAGACTCAGATTGAGCCCACTTCTGGACTAAAAAAGCATGTTCTACATACATTTTCCTGGAATCAGCATTATGTGGGTCTGGCAAACTGTCCCAATAAGTTGTCCCTCTCCTACGAATTACATTTGTACTGAATGTAACATTTGGGGGAAATCGTGTAAATAAAAATGGTCACACTAAAGCTGTTGCGATTGACTTAAAACCTGAACTGTGAAATTGTGGCACTTATTTAGTCCTGTTTGGTGTGCCTTGAATCATTGTTTTCCCCATTCTCTCACAATCTAAAAACTCAGGATTTCACTGTAATTTATACAGAAAGCCAATCAGTCAAGGTACTGATTGGAAACAAATAATGCATTAGTGTTTGTTTTTGTGACAAAGTACATGTGAATAGAAAACCAGTTGACAGTGACATATGGATTCCAACACAAGCCATAAGGCCAAGCATCCCAACAATCGATAGAAAGCCACTAGTGAGCTACTTTACTTTTTTTTAACAAATGGCAAACATGAAACCTTGTCATTTTCCAAAAAATTAAGTTAATGTCTCTTGTTGGAACTAATTTGGGTGTATCTTATATTATGGTAACATTCGGGCAATTACACTCCAGACAACTAGGTGCAGATAAATGGTGGTGGTAAACACACATCAGGTGATGTGGGTGTGTGAGCTCATGGTTCTTACCGCCAGGAGTGCACACATGCATTCTGAAATAGCATTTTTGCACCCCAAGTTTTATAAGTATGGAGAAAAAAAATGTATGCACTCACTAACTGTAACTGTAAGTCGCTCTGGATAAGAGCGTCTGCTAAATGACTGAAATGTCAAATGAATGTGATCCAAAACCAGGCAACTGTGTGCTTTAGGACCATGCAGACGCCTCCGAGCGGTCGGGTAGGCTGTTTGGACCTCACAGACACCTAAAGGCAAAGCTTCTGAAAGGCTGGCTGGACCAGCTCAGGAGAGTTGAGCATAGGTCAGTGTATGCTTTGCGCTCTTTCACCGAGTTGTAAAAGGAACAGAAACTGGCTACTCTTTAGTTGACTGATGTAGCTGGCAAGGTAACTGCTTAACTTAACAGAAGAAGAAAAAAACGAAACTAGTGTTTATTCGCAGTGCTGAGCTAGTATTGTAACTGACATGTAACTTCAGCTAATGTTTCATCCCCTCTTGACTGAGGAGAATGAATAAGCTACGCTAGTGAGTAGCTACCACAGCCAGGTCAGCTCTAGCCTCTAGTTATCTGTCAGATAGGGATTATTACTCTCTAACAGCAGTTGTTAGTATGGGAATGTTTTGTAGCCTTTGTTTTGTCATGTTTCAGAAGTAAATGAACTTGGCAAGCTTTCGCCAGTTGATGTACTGTTAGAAAGAGAGCTGGCCAAAAGTTGGCTTACATTTGCTATTATTTTTGCCTCAATTAAACTAGACCTGAATCAAACGATGAAACCATCAGCCAAAGGATTGAAGATTGATATTCTGATGTTTTTTCAGTGCAATTTGAGTTGTATTACTCAGTATGTCAATGTAATGTTATTGATCTGTCAGTTTCCCTAGCTAATTCCCTACTTTTCACAGTGACACCGTAATAAACAGCTCTAACATTACAGGCTTCACTGTCATGGTGCACAGTAGAGGTCTGCACGGGACCGATTTCTTCATCCCGCACCCGCTGGCTTTCTGTCCGACTCCCACCCGCTACTGCAAGAACTGGTCCCAAACCCAACTGCAGTCCCGCAATATAATTTAAGGCGTATATGATGCAGCTCACTTGCCAGCCATGGTCTCAGCAATTTTGCGCCCTATAGGCAATATCAAATGCGCAAAAATAACTTAAGAAATAGGTTAAATTACCAGAGATTCTCACATGGCCCTTACATTGTATTACTGGTCTATATCAGCCAGTTTGCTAGATGTAGCTTGAAGAGCGCAGAGTTGGAGAGACCTACACTTTCTCTTGAGCTATTTTTGTAGCCTACCTTTTAGGAGTGGGAAGGTTTTCCGATAGAGAAATATGGGTGATCAACATTTAGGCCTATTTCTAAGCATTGTACTAAACTATAGCCTAATCATAGGCCTATTTAGGAAGTACATTTCCTTGGAAAGATAACTGTCCCGTGCTTCTGCCCATATATACATAGGCTATAGCCTACTCTATTTAATTGAGACCACACACGCACCTGATCTCGCAGGTATGGCTACTGAACTGGAGGCAGCAAGAATGATGACAGCAACACTTGCTAGGTTTTACATAGGCCTATAGGATATAGCCTAACTTTTAGGAGGACGATTTGCAGGCAGAGACAAATAAATGGGTAATCCATACTTATTGAAAATGAAAAGGCGCAACGCTCGCTCACCATAGTAGCCTAATCTACAGTGGGGGAAAAAAAGTATTTAGTCAGCCACCAATTGTGCAAGTTCTCCCACTTAAAAAGATGAGAGAGGCCTGTAATTTTCATCATAGGTACACGTCAACTATGACAGACAAATTGAGATTTTTTTTCTCCAGAAAATCACATTGTAGGATTTTTTATGAATTTATTTGCAAATTATGGTGGAAAATAAGTATTTGGTCACCTACAAACAAGCAAGATTTCTGGCTCTCACAGACCTGTAACTTCTTCCTTAAGAGGCTCCTATGTCCTCCACTCGTTACCTGTATTAATGGCACCTGTTTGAACTTGTTATCAGTATAAAAGACACCTGTCCACAACCTCAAACAGTCACACTCCAAACTCCACTATGGCCAAGACCAAAGAGCTGTCAAAGGACACCAGAAACAAAATTGTAGACCTGCACCAGGCTGGGAAGACTGAATCTGCAATAGGTAAGCAGCTTGGTTTGAAGAAATCAACTGTGGGAGCAATTATTAGGAAATGGAAGACATACAAGACCACTGATAATCTCCCTCGATCTGGGGCTCCACGCAAGATCTCACCCCGTGGGGTCAAAATGATCACAAGAACGGTGAGCAAAAATCCCAGAACCACAC